GGGACCGAGAACGCCGACACGACGGACGGACGCAGACTGACGTGTGGGCTCACTGCTCATGTAACCATGTGACATACTTTTAACCCGAATTAAGTGCCTCGTTTACGCCAACCTCGTCCCGACAGAGAGAAACTGCCACGATGGCACCCTCAGTCATGTAGTACTCTGGAAGCTAGATGGTTCACTTTTGGGCCTAAGGGAAGAAAGCAATTAAAACGAGCGTCCCTTGTATCGAAGCTAGATTCACCATGCACGAACAATGAAAAAATGTGGGTGCCAGCAGATGAGTATTCTTAAGATACCATGTCATGCCCTGGCACGCTGCAAACCCCCTAAACTATCTACACCATCCAACAACATTTCAACCGTGGGGTTATCGTCTAAGGATGAGGGTTGAGATGACCTGATTAACCTCAAACGCTATAAAGGCAAGCACAGAACTCTATGTAGAATTTTTCCCGGCTGTTTAATGCTGTCTGAAGAACTTGACGGTTTTGTCAATTGAGTTTCTATGCTATGGTCAACTATAAGAAATTAAACACACCATATCTTTGAACCATATCTTTAAACCATTTTATTGAATCAGTAAAGCGAAGAAAACCTTTACCTCGTGTGAACAAGTTGTCTGCTATAAGTGTCTCCTGTGGCATTGTTCATCCAATAGACTTTTTCATATTGCTCAATGGTGTCACACACCAGTGATAGTAAAAACTTTTTTTATGCCCCCTCAAGTCCCACACACATTTCACTTGCTGGCATTTAGTTGTGCTAATACGAGCAACGTTCTGTGTTCATGTTTCTTGTTGCTCTTGTGTATGATTCCATTTGTATTGCATCATAAAACAAATCTGCACTAATATATAATTATGTCTTTTTTTAGAGCACTAAACAGTCAAAAATAATCGTGAGGAATACATAAAACATATCAAACACTATTTCATACTCAAAAAACGCGTCTTTTAAAAAGAAACCCAGATAAATTAGATCGTAAACAAACAACCATCGATCTGTCAATCATGTTGCTTTGTCTCAATAAAAAAATGCATTTGCAAAACAAACTGAACACCAAAAACAAAATGGCTTTTAAAATGTGTGATTGTCCAGAGCTTTATTAATACGATTGGGGAGAAAAATATTGCAAGGAAGAGCATTTCAATCATATTTATATGGGAAGAGGAAATATTTGAAAAAATTAGTATTAACGAACGTCGGCACTACGGAATTCTGATGGTGATGTATGTTTCTCTAAAATAATGCCATACTTTTTTTTTTTTAATACTTCGGATATTGCGGTTTTCGCAGGAGGGAAAAAACGGACTGTATCACAAAAGATACATCATGCACTCAAAATTTACCTGAACAATAACATTATGCATCCGAATTATTCAGATATGCACTCAAACAGTTTAACGGAGCTATTGATTTAGCTGGATAATAAAATATTGATGACTAGAACAATTGATAACTTACGCGGGTGGAGCAGCTAGAACAAAGAACAATATGAGGATTGCGCGAATATTCGCGTTTTCAAATAGTTGTTTCAAATAGTGCGCTATTCGATATTAGCTTCGGGATTAACCTCGCGGTATCCGATCTAAATGCGGCGGATTCGCCCCGTTGGGCATGCTTCTTGCCGAGCACTGGCGTACTGTGGAGAAGCAACATGCGCAAAAGCGGGCTTCACTGGTGCCGCTTTTCCGCAGCGCACCGGTGCACGGTTGGAAGCGCGCTCGACGGGGCTAACCTGATGCATTTAACACTTCCAACAATATGAATATCGCAAAAAAAAAAAAAAAACTTTTTTTTTTTCTTTTTGCAAAGGGCATTTGGCACGCCTTAATGGAGGATTGAGGATTAATTTGTACCACCGTCAAAATATATGTCAAGAAAAAAAAAAAGAAGAAAAAAAAACAGTTATTATATATGCGCAGCTTGTTACGGTGAAGTAGATTAGCAATCTTCTTCCTCTGCTCGAGTGATTTTGCGTTGTTTCTGTCGTCAATGTCATCTGTATACCATATCCCAAACATAAATCAATATTTTTTTTTTTTTTTTTTTTAAGTTGTGTTAGCGTATTCTAACTTCGATCGAACTAAGAAGTTGTATGCTTGAAGTTTATTGAGAAGGAGATATGAGTGCATTAAAAGTTCGCAGCTCTGCAAGTTTTACTCCAGGATTTAAATATTTTTGTTTAGCTTTTGGCCCAGAAGGATTTTTCCTTACAAAGATACTGTGAGGTCATACGATTTGTAACAAGGCACTAGTGCCATTTGGGTGTATGAGGCCACGTGTTGCTTCTTTTCTCTGTAAATAACGCACCTAGTCTTTGTTCCGATTACTAAGAACAAATGAAATATAACATTTTATACTTGTGCACAGGAAGACCCAAGATGAATAATACAACCGAAACCGATGAAACAAGAAATGGTGCAAAAATATGTACATGTATATAGACAGAAACTGATTTCACCAGTAAAATCAAATTAACAATCACATAGCAAGAAAAAGAAAAAAAAAAAAAAAAAAAAAAACCTGGCCTGCACAGGGATCGAACCTGTGACCTTCGCGTTATTAGCACGACGCTCTAACCGACTGAGCTAGCAGGCCGGAACGAAATAACGGTTTGTAGAGGCTGCTTTTAAAAGAATTGTCAAATATCAAATAGCAGTATATAGTATATAATCATAGGTTATGTTCCAAATCTTACCCGAGTAACCTGCCTCCTACGTCAGCGGGTAATACCGCGTGACATCGCGAGTAAACGATACGCGACTCGATTCTGGAACGGCCGGGATAATCACCTGGATACTACGCAGATTGGCTTCGTCTTGGGCTACGGCAAAAAGAAAACGCAGCAGCGATGGCAGAATATAGCAGACGATCCTTTTGATCATAGAGAAAGCACTCGAAGAACGACAATATTAATGACGACGCGGTGTTTTTTGAGGTGGATCCACCAGCTCCTTTTACTCACCTTCCTTTTGAGCTGTATTTTGCGATCAAAATTACTTACTCCCTACAGTTAGACATAAAAAAAAAATATATGTTTTATTAATCAGCGCGATCGCTGCAATTTTAGTCACGGTGCCCTAAACGCATATATTCCACGCATTGTAATTTTCACCGATTATGTTTTGGAGAAATTTCTTCCACACGGTGTAGCGGCACAGCGCGAGGGTGCTTTCTCTAGAATGATATGAAACACACGTTCGCTTTGACGCGAATGTGATTACAGTGAAATTTTTGAAGCTTTACAAGCGTTATCCTCTCATTACACGTACACATGTTCAAATATGTTCGGCCTTGAACGTGAGAATACGGCATTCCCCCCAACGCCGAGGACGAGGATACGGAGAAGCTCCTGTTTACGCTCGCACTCGGATAATAACAAGTATACCTTCCCAGGGATCGGTGGACGGTCTGGATGTAATGCAGTCAATTCCTGCGTTGAAAATAGCAAATCGCAATTACCACGCATGCTGCGCCTAATTCTTTGTCCTTTCGGACGTCCGCCACCAAAACCAACGGAGCAAGCGAGCTTTGACGGATGTCGGCGCACAAAGCAGACGACGAACAGATCACGTGACGTAACTTCACTCCCCCGATCGAGGAGGGTAGCGTGAGTAATTACTCCGGAGTAAACAACCCGCTTCTGGAACGCGAGTTCTGACGTCATCGAGTAAGCTCGAGTAAGTTTGGAAACGCCACGATACGAAACTTTTACTCCAGAGTCGGATCGAGTAAATTTTGGAACACAGACATAGTTTCGTTGCTTCAATGAAAGTTTCCAGCATTCAAACACACCGCTAAACTGAGCAGAACGTATCCGCTCAGGCTAGCTCAAGTAGTGGTGATGGGCGAACGCTGATTAACTTTTCCAAGGTTGGGTTCGGTTTGTGTTTTTCTTCGAGTGGATACACTGTGGGCAAACACATGACAAACGGTGATCGCGAAACTACAAGAAATATTAAATTCACTGCAAAGAAAAAAAAATAATAAAGACGCGAGTGTGTCGCTACGTAGAAAAAGGTCAGAGAAAAATAAATATCTCGAGCCTGCCAGGATTCGAACCTGGAATCTTCTGATCCGTAGTCAGACGCGTTATCCGTTGCGCCACAGGCCCGACACAAGCTGCTGATTTCGTAGCCTTTTACGAGGATAAAATATCTTATAGACCCTCTTACGTTTTTTACTTTTATTTTTTTTTGAGTAGTCATATCACCTTCCCTCTGGACGATCCATTCTACAGCGTACGAACGGATGTTCCAGGCATTCTCAACCTGAGCTTGAATCAACTTCCCTCGAAGCGAAAGTCATCCACCGAATTCGCAACCTCGTCGGCCTTTGCATCACGGATCACCGCATCGCTTTCCAACTATTCGGCACAAAAGCACATGCTAGGGACCAATGAAGCTGCTGATTTCTCTTGCTTTCGTCTTTGCTGGAATGGGAGGGCACTTTTTACCTCACCGTACGCCAATACCGTACGCACGTGAACAAGATAACTCTGCCCAAGGGCCAAGAAAACTTTCCACTTCAAGACACACCAGCGCCCCAGCGCCACGAATCACTGCGACCCATATGCAACACAGCTGGCGAGCTAGCACACGTAAACTCATCCGCCCCGAAACACTAAACACAGCTGTTTTTCCTCCCTTCTTTCCTCTTGTTGAATCTTTTTTTTTTTTTTTTTTTTTCTTTTAGTCAGAGCGCTGAGTGTGTTTTCTTCTAGTTTTCTGACCGTTCTCTGAGGGCGCCTGTTGTGTGCCGTCATCTCACGGCATCTCTGCGCACTCATCCCTCTTTTGGTTTTGTGTGCTTCCACCATTACACACGGGATGGCGCCAGTGAAGTTCCATTCATTTTAATGTATCTTAATCTCCCTCGGTTTCTTTCTGCACTCTCTCCTCTCGTTTCTGTCCCTCTTTCTTTCTTTCTCCTCCTCGTCACCCAATGTTGCCTTCTTGCGCGTGTCGGTGCCTCGGGGTAAAAAGGAATCCGCTTCTCAGCTGCTCCCACGACGGCGTGCGAGCAACAGTGTTTGTGTTGGCGTGCCGCGCGGCGCCGCCGGTATTTGTTTGACGACACGAGCGCGTCTGTTTGGATCGTCGTCGTCGGTGTTGTGGTGCTGGTGGTTGTGTTGTGCCGGTGACGTGCTACTGCCCCCGAACGGATAGCGAGCGTCCCGCCCGCGATGCGTGCGTGCCGACAGCGTCGCGCCTAGAGAATCCGTCTCGTCCGTTCCGACTGACCACAACAGAGCAGCGTGGTGCCATGAGCGTGCTCGTCGAGCTCGCGACGAGCCCGAGCAGGCTTCGTCGCCGGACCACGGACTTGTCCGAGCTTGCACGAGGAGACCGCAAGGCGACGTCCGCTGGCCACAACAACAACAACAGCATCGAGGTGCCGGAGTACATTGTGGATCCAGAGACCAAGATCACGTACCTCAAGGGCAAGTTTCTCGGCAAGGTAGGATGTCAGCGTTGTTTTGTTCGCCCGTTTTGGTCAGGGTGTACGCAAAGCTTCCTTCGGCGGTCAACGACGCGCGCACGGCGTGGCCCCCCGAGGCGTCGGCGCCGACGGTAGTATCGTCGCTGCAGGAACACGCCTATTAAAAGGCGTCGTTGCACGGTTGGCAGCGCGACGGATGGAACAAAGATCGCCGTCTTTCTGAAAGCAGCGTCGTGTTACGGTTTCCCACGGGGGTTCTTGATCGCGCACAGATTGACAGGAGTCGGCGTCGATGGTGGCTTCTTGTTTGTTCCTTTCTTGCTCGTCAGTTGTAGATGTCCGCGGATTTTCGTATATGACTTCCTTTTTTTTGGGCGAAGCGCAGACATTCGCTGTGCGTGCTATTGTTTTTCAGTCTCGGAATGTTCCGAGAATGAACTGTTCGCACTGGGTGTGGTGGCGTTCAACAAGTCGCGTCTGTTGAGTTCAAGGCGACTTGAAACTCTCTCATTCACTGTGTTCTGTTCTTAGTTTTGTCCTCGATACATTCCCTGTTGAGCATTGCTCTTGGGTCCCCTTCCCGATAACGTAACTATCTTGGTTGCACTTCCTCATTTGTAACCATAGGTAGGTGTACAGCAGTGCTTCCGAAACTCTGCGACCCTTAAAATAAAAATAAATATCGCATCAACCGCCCCCCCCCCCCTCCCTTTCCCCCCACCCACCCTTCCCTTTACGGAAGCTTTTCGCGACGCAAGCTTTCTGATATCAGTCTATAACCAGTAATACAGAAAATTGGCACTGAGGTTACACCGTGCACTGAATAATCAAAATGAATCAATCAAAATAAAAACCATCGCAAAAAAAAAAAAGCAATAAAAAAAACTGCATGTTACCAGGGGTTATTGTTCCGGCGGCTAAAGTGAACTTGAGCACGGTTTCTCGAGACGAGGGCTGAGCTTGTACACCGCAACTCTTTGTTCTGGTTCGATGTACTGTACTTGAATCGACGCCGGCTTTTCTGTTTTCGTCAACAACACACAAAAAAAAAAAGGTGTATTTTAATTTTTTTTTTTTTTTTTATGGTTTTTGAAGTTGTTTTGCGATACCCACAGTTTGGAACCACTGCTGTGCAGGCCCCAGGGATGGCTCTAAACGGTGCAACTATATAAGTGGCATAACCAACGTTTCATTCCAGGGAAGGTCAGTATACTATAACGACATGTCCAATTTGCATACAATGTCTGGGGCGGAGCGTTCTCGCATGGAGCATATTGGTATGAACGTTTTCGGCTTTCGTACCGCTTAATTATCTCCAGAATGGCGCCGAGTGTTATGACTTTATCTCTTACGTTTTTCCTCTATTATTTATTACGCTCGGGGCATATGAAAAGCGTTTTCTTGCCGACTCAACAAGCGGTATATCCTGCGCCATGTTCGCAATCGTCTTCCGTTTCTCTGCTGCGGCTATCATCCTACAACGTTCCGGGACGTCCCACGTAACAAGCCATGATTTCGAGCCCGCTTTTTAGCGAGCCGCCTTGGCGCGCGCTTTCTCCTCCAATTTGGCCGCTCGTTGGCATTGTGTGCCAGCAACGAGTGTGGTGTGCGTGTCGGCGCTTGCCAGCAGCTGTTGCTAGCGCGTGCCAGCACCCCCCTACTCTGTTTTCCCTTAGGATGGACCGCGGCGGATTCTACGAGCCTCGAAGCCAATAAAGTCACTGAATCCCGGGAAACTAGCGCCATTGTCTTCCCTGCGTGCTAGCAGGACACAAACAGATGCTAACATGCAGACGACCAAAACCTCAGTCGCCGATTGGCTGATCGGTGTCTGTTGCTGTGGCAATCGCGATTTCGGTCCTTTCAAATCTTCGAAGTTTCGAAAGCAGACACGCATGCCCCGCGTTGAGTGGGATTCGGTGACACATGACCTTTCGAGGGCGTGCAAGGCGCGTAGTCACGTGACAAAAGTTCACAACGCTAGCTGGTGTCCTGATAACAAACATACTAAACGTGTCACGTGAGGTGTCACGTGATAACACCCCGGCGGTGTCCCAGCAGCGGTTGAGAATGTGGCAGACGCCCGTTCTGCTGCAGGTCACTTTCCAGCTTGCCCATCAACCTCAGCTTCGGTATAGCCAGGTGTTTGTTTTTTTGCTTATTGTTTCGTTCACTCTGTACACAAACAGTTCTCGATCTTCAAGTGTGCATCTTATACAAAACTAAAAGCAAAAGAAGGCTGTTTCTGCATGTGGTGTTTTGCTGGAGACTACGTTGAAGTTTCTTCTATGAAGGTCATATATTCTGCTGATCAAATTAAGACGAGCCTCGTTCCCTTGGTCCTAGCAGAACGAGCCCAGCTTGCTCCACTGTCCCAACCGCTTTTCTTTCTATTTTCTCATCGGCACGACGTACTACTTGCGGGGCCTCAGCCGTCAGCTCCTCCTGTACAGCGGTGTCCTCTCCAGTCCGCTCCATTTTCTCGCGAGCCGTTGCGAAGACGACTAGACCACTTCCAGCACGCTTATCTTTTCTCTTACACGATAAATGAATGATGTAGCCCATTTGTTCATCGCGCTGATATAAAGGGTATCACGCGGTAGCTTGATATCCTTTGTATTAAGGGTATACAAAAGGGTATCGTGCTGCCGCCTGATACAAGGGGTGTCCATCCAGCTAGCGCCTGACACCCTTTGTACCAGGTGGTAGCTTGTGCCACTTGGCCTAAAACAATTTACCCCCCCCCCCCCCCCCCCCCCTCTGGTTTTAATTTTTTCTATAAGTTCTGTCTGGTTAAACTATCCACCGCGCCAATGTATTATCCCGCTTCTCTAGAGCTTCTCCGCCAATCCTCGAGCCTCATTTTTGTGATTGTGGTCCTTTGTTCCCCCGTTCTTCAATCCTCGCTAGCGAAACGCCCGAAAAAGAACAGGAGATCCGATATGTTTTTGTAGAACACAGAATGAAATGTCCCGAAATTTTCGGGCTCCGCGACGACAAACGATCCTCGTGTACGCTCGTACGTTTAATCGGCACTTATAGACCAACACGTGGTCCTGACGCCACGTCGTTGCCATGTCGCTGTACTATTGGCAGGGCACGTGCGCGGACGCTCGTGTTGGAACTGAGGGTTTGCCCAGACCTCGTGGGTCGGCAAGATGGCGACATCCGACAGCAGACACGCATGTCTCGCGTTGTTGGCACTCTGGACGTATGAGCGAGAAGGACGGGCAGAACGCGGCAGTCGGACGACACATTCCCGGCGGTCCATCCTTAGAAGCCATCGGTCTCCGATTAGCGAGTCGCGCTGCCGGCGCTTTCCCTCTTCTCGCCACGGCGACCTTTCTCGGCCGTGATCGGGCTGTCCGATAGTCGCGTCATTAGGGGCCCGTCGCATCTTCCTGCCGCCTTTCCGGGCCTTTGTTCCCGACTCGGACGCCATTCAAGGCCGTTCGCGTTTGTGGAAGAGCCCCCGTGCTGGGACAGCTTTGCTCGAAACGAATCCAGCCGCGCCTTCTTCAAGGATCGTCGATGTTGTAGCGTACGTACAATAGGGTACCAGAGCATTGTCAGACTGTCAACTTTGACGACGTTCTTTTCCAGATGTGATTGCTCCTAGCTTCCACTGTACCTTTTAGACACACCATCGAACTAATGATGAGTTGCCTCGCCGTGGCGTCACGGCGAGGCAAGTCCTGGTTGTGACCTCACGGATGGAAAGCGTTTATCCAGATAATACGGACCTGGTGCATGATCCACGCAAATACCCGCTTTATTATCTCGCAAACGAAGCTCGTGTCATACTCAAGTCATCATTATCTAATTTGTCACGCTCGATATCCTTCACGTGTCGTCATAACCGTTATCAACGATCTTCGAGAAACAAGTACTCGTATATTGTCCGCACCTATAGATGTTCTGCACCGTATAAATATTAAAATTTTAGGCATTTATATCGTCCGAACGGTGTCATGCGCTTGCGAGATTCTGTTTCGAGCAAGCCGATCCTGTGGTCCGATTTTGGTCACCGCCAGAGCGATGAGAAGGTACCGTCCGCTGACGGGTTTTCGGCTGAGCAGAGACCGCGGTCCGCTACGAGCTGACCTTCGCGGATGAAAATAAAACAATACCTTCAGGTTACTAAAAAAAATGTAATTAATTTACTGAGTATTGACCTCGAAAGTAATTTGAGTAGAGTAGAAATTACTCAAATGGGAAAGTAATTGAGTAAATTACTAACTACCGTAACAGAGTAGCGAATTACTTTTGAAGTAACTTTTTATTTTTTTACAGTAACAAGAAAGTACATAAATGTTAGATGCGTTAGCGAAATTCTGCTGGCCAAATATAAAACGGCTTGTGTTTTCACATAAATGCTTTAATAGCTGGTTCCGCTTCTGCGTGATTAATTGTTTTGTACTTTTTGTTTTCTGGTCACTGGTGTACTACGGATGTATCATTTCTACATTGAGGTTTAGCATTGCCTGTGCTTGACTTCGCAGACAGTGTTGCTTGTTTACTGTATTGTGTGAAGTACATCTAAAAAGTACTTTAACTAAAGTACAAAGTCAGTTGAGAGGTTATATACTTCAAGTATAGTATGTACACCGGGTGCAGTGTACTTGAAGTAAAGTACTATAAATACAACATACTTTTAAAGTATGTTGTATTTAACACTATTTTTCATTATGCCCTTTCATACCCTAGTTTTCTTTTTAATCTATTTTAACTGGTATGCACGGCGGCAAATATAGTATAAAGTCAAGTCGCCAGAGAGTAGTGGTTTTAGTCTCGCTGACAAACTATTTAACACAATCAGCTTATAAGGTACTTATTTGTATCGGTCTTTTAGCCGCCATTAATTCACCCAGAGAAATGGCCAGAAGACCTCTCGAAAGACGATAGCGCTTTTTCACATGACAATACGCCATTTTTTGTTTTCAAATTCGGGGAATGTAGTTTGAGGTCGGAAATATTATTTTTTTCAGAAATTACCAGAAAAGAATACTTTATTGAGG